ATAATAAATAATTTTTGTGTCTTCTGTCAGCATAACCACAGTAGTATCTCAGTACCACCAGCTGATAATAATCTTTATAAATCCTACTTTGCAGCTATGCCATCTGTTAGTTATTATTTTATATGTGTTTCCATATGCATATGTGAATTAGTTGTCACTCAAGACAAATATATAAATAGAATTGCGGTTTTGTGGGGAGATTTTTATCGGCTTGTTTTTGTGTTTTGTTATCTTTAGGCCAGTGCACTAAATAAACATATTCCTCAGTCTTGGAAACCAAAACTAAATTCAAATTTTAAAATAATTTTTATAGTACAAATAAATTTAAGTTCAATACACACTTAATCTAAAAGAATCTATTAAAACTAGGTTGAAATTAAGAGTCACCAAAACTGGAGATGATTAAAGAAACTGAAACTTACATACTCATAGCTCTCAAAATATACCTACAAAACCAAAAAAGAATAGGCCCACTAGAAAAATAAGTAGCTAATATGGTTCCAGTTTTCACAACACAGAACACTTTCCATGATTGAAGATGAGAAAATAATGACTAATTACTTGCTTATTTGTAATGTTTATTCCCTGAAAAGATCAGAATGACAAAAACTCAAAACAGCAGCCCCTCCCTCCACGAATCTGTGGATTTATACCCCTGAGCTGTAAGTAATAGGCTCCTAGACTGGCAGAAGGTAATAAGTAGCCATAACATCATTACAACTCATAACCAAATTTTACCCAGAAAGGCAACAAGATAAAAAAAAGGAAAAAAAAAAAAAAAAAAAAAAAAAAAAAAAAAAAAAAAAAAAAAAAAAAAAAAAAAAAAAGAAAAAGGAACAGAAGGAGGTGGATAATCCTCCAATTGGATAATTAGTTCCAAATTATAACTCTTTCCCCAAGTGCTAGAGTCTAATGACTTTAATTTTAATGAACCCAAACCTGGGTTTATGGGAGCTCAAGCTCTACACACCAAAAACATGATGAATTCTGTTAAAAGTTACCAGTGGTTCTTAAAAATAGAGACTAAAGCACAACTTGAGAGTAACCACGTTTGGTGACTACATGGTTTGATATCTCTTTAAGTTACGCTATTTTAGGTGATGATACTTTGGGATCATATAGAGAGTATGCCAAGGTAGAAACAGTAGTAACTAAAGTCATCATTAAAAGGAACCTAAAATATTTAGGGAAGGGGACTGAATAAGACAAGTATACTGAGAAATTAATGTTTTTCTGAAATGAATGCCTTATTATTTTCAGTTCACAAAGTAAAAAGTCCCACTAACTAATGCAAATAAATACGCTGCCTTTCATAGTCTTTTGTGTAAATGTATCAACATAGCTTATAATCCAAATCTGTAAAAATTCACTTATTGATGTCCAAACCACACCCCCTTTTTGCAAATTATATTCCACCTAGATGCTAGAGTCCTGATGTCGGGAGAGAGCTGTATTTGGAGAGGGAACACATTTTTTAAGTACACTTGGGCTATGAAGCGTAAGGAAAAATAGCACACACTACTTAACAAAATATTTTAACTACCATTAAAGCTACAGTACAGCATAGGCCGAGTTACATTCTTTTTTAACCCTTTATCATCTATCATTGAAATGCCTGTGTAGAAAGTCGTTTCATACTATGATTTGCTTCTAGATTTCTGAAACTTTTTTTTTTCAAGTTTTTACTAAAATGTTCTTAAGGATTTTATCAAGGAATATCACAGGAATTTATCATATAGGAATTAACTGTAGAAATAGTAAGAAAAATTAGTTCATGGTTCAATGCTCATCTAGTGCATTAGGCCTCCCTAATATTTCTTCCTTCACTGAAATCTCACTTACCTTTGTAGTTACGGAATTTATGAAATTTATTTATTCCATTTTATATTATAGTAATTGTTCGGGTTTTCTAATTTTCCATGAATAGATTGAGAATTTCTGCTTCTATAGCTGAGAGTCATAGTTGTATTTATCTTTATAGTCTCTCCACCCCAGGCCCAACAATTCCTTGAGAATAGCATGCAATCTCGATGTTTATCTGAACTCACCAGAAAACCTATTTTGATATACTAAAAGCCACCCTCTCCAAAAGGTCCTTAGGAAAGGGAGTTCTATTTTGGCAACTATAAGTCTTATTTTTAGACATTATGGAACCCATACCAATTTACCAAACATTCTCATTATAAATAATATTTCAACATTTCTTATATAGCCATTAAAAACTAAAAACTAAAATGAGAATCCTTCCTGTGAAGGTACAATAGTAACAATTTCTTAATCAGACGTATATCTTTTTTTTTTAATTCTTATTTATTTTTGAGAGAGAGACAGCATGAGCAGGGAGGGGCAGAGAGAAAGGGAGACACAGAATCTGAAGCAGGCTCCAGGCTCTGAGCTGTCAGCACAGAGTCTGACGTAGGGCTTGAACTCAAACTGTGAGATCATGACTCGCACCAAAGTTGGACACTCAACTGACTGAGCCACCCAGGGGCCTTTTTTTTTTTTTTTTTTTTTTTTTTTTTTTTTTTTTTTTTTAACTGAAATCATACTTTTCCTTGCTAATGTAGTAAGAGTGTCAATAGTGTAAATTCATAGATTTTTATGGGTAACTTATAAGAAATAAGAAAACTTTACAGTGATGAAAAAAATATATAGTCCATGTGTTTATAGTGTAAGGAGAAAAACAGGATTTAATGAAGAGACTCACAGCATTTGCTGTCTTTTTTCCCTTTGTTAACTGATTTCTTCATTTATCCACCCCAGAATCAATGACAGGGCTTCTCTGTCACACCACATGTGTTTGACACTAGGTTAGTGGCTGAAGCTTTAAAGCTGGTTAACTAAAAGTATAGGCTCCATCGTCCAGGAACTGGCATGATAGTGAAGTCATAAAAGACAGCACAAGCAGTACAAGGACATTGAGGCCATCTCTGGCTGGGAATGTAGGGAGAGTTCACAAAGGAGGTGCCGTATGAACAGCGTTTTGTTCTTAAGCTTTATTTAGCAGGTTTCAAGGCATTTGGGGGGCCTGAAGTAATAAAACCTGCTGTTTTTTTCAGAAAGGGATTTGGAAAAGACACTGCTCATCTAATAACAGTCTAGTGAAAAGGCCTAGCTGAAGAGTGAGGAACCAGACTTGGAAGGGTATTTGTGAGGTAGAATCAGTAAGAATTGATAGACTTGATAAGAATGTTGGCGACAGTGAGTCAAGATGACATTTTTAGGCCTTTAACTTGGCAGGCAGATGATGACATTACAGGAAATCTAGATTACAATTAACAGGTATTTACTGAGCACCTTCCATGTACCAGACACTATTCTAGGCCCACAGAGTCTGTTTTCATTCTAGTCAGAGGAGGCAGACAGTAAATAAATGAATAATCTGAGAATTAATAAAGTTTGTGCAGGAAATAAGATGGGGCTATGTGACAGTGATGGAGGGAAAAAGATACTTTAGCTGAGGTAGTCCTGAAAAATGACACTGGAACTAAGACCTGAATGACCTTAACAAAGGGATAGCAAATTGCAGAGGCTGAGGTGGGAAGGAGCTTAACATGACCAGGAGACAGAACAGCAGCTGGTAGGTGGGGTTGGTGTTTGGGGGTGTGGAGAGAATGGGGATGAGAGAGCACGTGTTGCTCCTGGTAGCCCGCCATAATATACAGCATGTATTCTAGTTACAGTGGGCAGACAGCAGGTTTTAAGCCAAAGAGTGATGTGATCTCATTCATATTTCCATCTGCTGTGTGGAGAATGGACTTAAGGAGAGTCCTGGTGAGAGTGGTGGCTCACCCCCGAGTTCTAACGGTGTCGGTGCTGAGAAGGAGTCAGATTCCACAGGTAGAGGGAGAGATGACCAGGCTTATTGATGGGCTGCATGTGGAGCGTGAGGAAGAGAGAGGCAGGGGTACATTAGGGGCTTTGATTGTAATGTTTTTTAACGTTTATTTATTTTTTGAGAGACAGAGAGCAGGAGCTGGGGAGGGGCACAGAGAGAGGGAGACACGGAATCCAAAGCAGGCTCCAGGTTCTGAGCTGTCACCACAGAGCTTGATGCAGGGCCTGAACCCACATCAGGAATCAGTATTTCTTCTTTGGTCACGTAAAGCCTGAACTGTCTAGAAACTTGTAAGTGAAATGGTACATAGGCAGTTGGATATAGTCTGGAGCTCATGGGAGAGGTCTCATGGAGATTTACTTGGGGAGTCATCAGTCTCTTCACGTAAGTTAAAACCACGAGACTGGGTAAGATTCATGTTGACTGATCAAGATTTTATTCATGCATTCATTTAACAAATCTTTTTGACTACCTATCCTGTGCTAGGCTTTGGGACTACGGTGATGAACCAAACAGGCCAGGTCCCCAAACTCCCTCCAGCTGTATGCAGCAACACCCTCCTGTATCACAGGAAGAATTAAGTAGGGGTATGTCACCATGTAGAAAGTTCCAAAATTCATGGGTATATCTTCTACCCGAATAATTAACATTCCCCCTAAATCTTAAAAATGATTATGTTAGTGATTAAAGAATGTTAGGATGTTTCTACACAGTATATGAAAAGGATCTGAATTACATTTTGAAGTAACCACAAGGAAAAAATAATTTTCTCATGTGGAAAAGAACCAATACCCTAGTCTTTTTACTGAACACTGTCAAGGAATATACTTTGATGCTGGAAATGGTAATGTAATACAGTTCTAAATAGGTTATTTGCAAACCTGTATAGGTTCAGGTATTACCTATTCATTCGAATGTATTAGAAAATAATCACTCAAAAATAGTTCAAATGTTCTAACTTAAGTGCTCTCTTCCTCTTTTTTCAACTGAAAGATTCCATATCCAGCACTAGGAAAAGCTTAGCACTGGTGAAATCACCTGTCTTCTTTGTACTTGGCACCTATGTAGCAAGAGTAGAAGTTACTATTTATCCTCAGAGGAATATATAATCATAGTGACTTGTTGAGTTTTGCCCCAAAAGGGCTTACTGAGTTTCACTTACCTCCAAAGGTTGGTTGCCTTCTTCTTCTGAAGTTTTACCTCTTGCTGCCATTCTTTGCTCATGTGCCGTATCTCCTATGAAGTGAAAAGAAAAAAAGAAAAAAAAAAAACACCTTTACCATACCATTGAGGCCAAGTGTCTTCAATTTATTTAAAATATCTTTTGTTGCCATATGTTTCACACTATGGAAGCAACCACTGTTTCCTTTGTTTCAAAGTAACTTAATTTTTAAGCACAGTAATTTTATAGAGGTTTCAGAAATCATCCATCCGTGTATATATATATATATATATATATATATATATATAT